GGCCCGGTGGGGAAAAGGCAAAGAATCCCAAAAAAGGCGGGAAAAAAGGGGGGGTTTGGGCCCGGAAGAGGGAAAAAAAATTTTTTTTTTTTGGGGGTTTACAAAAAAATTTTTTTTTAGAGGGTTAAAAAAAAAAAATGTATGTCTTCAAAAATTTTTCTCCTTCTCCTCCTCCCCTCCTTTTTCTTTTTGAAAACACCCCAAAATGTTTCCCCTTTGGGGCGGGACAGAAACGCAGATTTCCCCAATTTCCATTTTTACCAGAAACGGCGACGGTTATCCTCTCCTTTCCCCTGAGTTTTCGATCATCCCCCATTTTTCCTCGCAAAACCTTTCCCCCCCCCAACCATGATAACCATCTGTCCCTCTGCCTTTTTAATTTCTCCAAAGCCCCCTTACCCCCATCTACTCGCCCCCCATACATCATTCAAGACTGGTTGTCCCAACCACCCAAAATCTGTCTCCCTTTTCTTTTCCCCTTTAAAAACCGGATTTCCCCTTGATCTCTGGGTAGTGAGATCGGGTGCCCATGCATATTATTGCGCACGTAACAAATCCCTTGACAGTTGGAAATCAAATAGAGTAGCCTAATGGCGCTGCCCGGGCTAAATTTAGGTTTAAAAATCTACCCAAAAGTATTTCAGGATCCCTGCCGGTGCAAGGGAGTTCATGCACTGCGCTGAGCTTCTTTAAACTCAGACTTGAGTTAGAAGTAGAACGGAGCACTTTTGGGTTACACTCGCATGCTACAATCTTGATCCATTGAATAAACCAATAAACCAGTATGACATCCTTGGGTCACCTCTGCGATGCTGCCTGCTGTTAGCTATAGCGTCACAGAGCAGGGTACTCACTTACCCTGGCAGTCGAAAAGATTCGTGGAGATTGACATCCTCAGCCATGTTGGTGTGGAAAGCAAGGGCAGACTACCACGTTATTTATCCCTAGGATTGTTAAACGGAAGCCGATGTCAAGTGCCATGGTGGCCTGGATAGAGCGAAGATAGAGGGTACAGTTTCCATAAAATGAGGCAGAGGTCAACCTTATCGAAGATGGATACACAACCTCCAGGAGGCATTGACAATGAAAGTACACAGGGCTAGAGAATTGCTGGAGAAGGAGAGACTTTCAGGAGTGCTGTGAAGAGAGCGACATTCTATACAGGACATACTGATTGGTTGAATGTTAATGGGCAGTGGGTCTGTCCTTTCATTCCTGGGTAAAAGTTTCGCTTTCCAGATCTGGCCCAAATACACACTAGCTCACTTCTGATTGGTAGACCTTGAGCGATGTGACCTTAGCACAAGGTTATAGGGGTGTTCACCAATGCCGTTGAAATGGCATGTTGTATATTTCACGCCGCCAGGACTTTTATCACTCTAAAAACATGGACAGACTTAGTCCAACACAACCTGTCTAGAGAGTGCTGCAACCTGTGTCACAGGCATTCTCTTTCTCGGAATAAAAATGTAAATGCAAGAGAACCCAAAAAGCAAACAACAGAGGGGCACACCTGTAACCTGCAGGAAAGTAGACCAGCCCAACAAACTTGTGAATGAAACATGACCTACTTTGTTTGGGAAGACTAACTTAAACATAACCAATTTCTGAAAAATAGGTCCCTGGGACCCACCCGGAGGTAAAAAAGTTAGTTGCGTACAATTGCAGAATCAACAGCAGTTTTTGCCTGTTGTGGTTTTTCTAGGCAAGTTTTACATTCAGTAGTTTGCCATTGCTTCTTAGCGGTCAGCTCTTGGTACCACTGTCGAAACCAACGCAAGACAAATTGTCCGCAGCTGGGATTGAACCCAGCACCCCATCATTACAAAGCGCATTCACAATGCCTGAGCCACAGACGTGGACACCCAGAGATATCAAGTTTGTACAAGATTTTGCAGTTTGAAAAGTAATTCATAGCACAGTCAACTGCGGCTTTGAAATGCTTGAAAAAAATGTTATTCATTTTTAAAGTTGGAGAGCTACTAAAGTTAAATTCATTTGAAAACAGATTCTTCTTCTTTTTCATCTTTTCCTTCACCCTATACCTCAGTGTCGAGGTGGTGGTGGTGGGGGGGGGGGGGGGGGGTAGTTCATTGAAAACAGATGCCTGAGGAAAATGCTGATCATAAAATGGAATTATTCAAAGGAGTTGAGAAAAAGGAGAAATGTCTGGGCAACCACTAGTATCAGCAGTTAGAGAAGATGGTGTTATGATGGACACATTCTGAGAAGAAATGAATAGAGAATCACCAAACAGGCACTGAAATGGGAAATATAGGCATTGAGCAAACAAGAACGTCCAGGAGAAACAGTCAAGTAAATGTTGATGCCAGAAGCAAAAGATGCTGGACTGATTTCCCTCCATGATGTCGAAGTGGTTGCACAGGATAGAAGAGAACAGAGAAATAGATTGCAAGCTCTTTGTGATATGTAATAGCACAACTTAGCAATAAGTAAATAAATATCTGTCTTGATGCATATTCGGGCTCAAGAACTTTCATGTACCTGTGGCCTGTCTTTTAGGAACACATTGGAGCTATTCAGACATACAAGTTCCTGCCACTCTACTATCAGCTAGCAGCTAGGATGGGTTCAGTAACCAGTGACAGCAGCAACTTCCAGCCAGTTCTGATGCAGGTTTGTCTTCTGTTAGTGTTTTTGAAGACAAGCTGGTGACTGATCTGTTAGCATGCTTGTATCTTAGATTTAGAGAGGCAGAATTATCATCTGTTAGAGTTTTTGAAGAGAGTAGGTGGTCTCTCTGTTAGAATGCTTGTATTTCAGATTTACAAGGTCAGGTTGTCATCCCTTGTTGTCTTTGAAGAGAGAGTTGGTGGTCTGTCTGTTAGAATGCTTGTATCGGAGATTTAGAGGTGCAGATTTATCATCTGTTAGTGTTTTTGAAGAGAAGCCAGTGACCTATCTGTAAGTATGCTAGTGTCTTAGATTTAGAGGGGCAGATTTATCTTCTGCTGTTTTTGAAGAGAAGCCAGTGACCGATCTCTTTGCATGTCTGTATCTTAGATTTAGAGAGGAAGAATTATCTGCTAGGGTTTTTGAAGAGAGTAGGTGGTCTCTCTGATAGAATGCTTGTATTTCAGAAATATAAGGTCAAATTCTCATCTCTTGTTGTTTTTGCAGAGATAGTTTGTGGTCTCTCTGTTAGAATGCTTGTATTTCAGATATAGAAAGTCAAATTCTCATCTGCAATGATCTTCATTGTTATTAATTGCTGGCTCGAATGAGTCACCGCATCTTTCCATTCACCAACTGACAAGAACGAGAAAACATGGACGCTGGCAGACGTTCAGAAGTTACATGTTGATTCTTTAATAGCTCTGATAGTGGTGATGTTAGTGCTGCTAAATTTGGGATGAATTTACCATAATAGTTTATTAACCCTAGTAGAGATTGGAGCTGCTTTTTAGTTTTAGGTTTTTGGATCTTCAAAATTTTCGAAACAATATTTTCATCTGTCTGGACTAAACCTTCACATATAACATGTCCTAAGTAATCAATTTTGGTGTATGCAATTTCAGTTTTTAAAGGATTCACTGTCAATTTCGCGTCATTTATTCTTGATAGGACTTTTTGTAGGGTAGTGCAGTGGTCGTGCAATGTTTTGATGTGTATACAGATGTCATCCATGTATGCTGTGACGTGAGGAATTGCATATAACAGTTTCCTAACCATTTTGGTGAAAATTTTCGGAGCGTTTATTAAACCAAATGGTAAACGCAACCATTGTTTGAGTCCAATTGGAGTTTGAAAGCTAGTATATTTTACAGCTTCTGGTGTTAGTGGTATTTGCCAGTAGCCTTTTGAAAGGTCAATTTTTGTAAAAAATTTTGAGTTGTATAATTCTTGTATGATTTCATCTGACGAAGGGATGGGCTCAGTTTCTAAATAGGTAATTTGGTTTAGTTTCCTATAATCAACACACAAACGTAGTGAACCATCTTTTTTCTTTACTACCACTAAAGGCGAACTGTAGTTTGATGTGGAATCTTCAATGATTCCTTCTTGTTGTAGTTGTTGCAATTCTGATATAACCTTATCGATATAATGGATAGGTATTACATATGGTTTTGATTTCACTGGCACTGATGAATTCAACTGGATATCGTAACTGATTATGTTAGTTTTCCCAGGTTTATTTGTGAAAATATCTTTGTAATGAAAAATGATGCTCCACAATTTTGCTTTTTCATTTTCTGATAGTTCTTCATTTAACTTTATCGATTTCCAGTTGACTTCATTTTTTGTTGATGGTGTTGGAATATCTTCTTCTATAACATCAGGTAACTCTTCATTAATTACATTACATAAATTTGCATCAAGTACATCATCATCTGACATCAATAGTGATCTTTTAAAATATGGTTTAAACATGTTTACATGAAAAATTTTTAGCTTTTCATCAATTTTGATTTCATAATCAACATCAGAAATCTTTCTTGTAACAACAAAAGGACCTGACCATTCTATACATAACTTGTCTGACTTCTTTGGTAACAGTAATAACACTTCATCACCAGGGTTATATTTCACAAGTCTTGCTATTCTATTCGCATAATGTCGCTGTTTTAGACTGGCTTCTTTCATTGCTTCGTTTGCTTGTTGACAAGCAATCATTATTTTATTTCTCAGATCTGTTACTGATTCATAAGCTGATTTTTCTGTATCCGTTTCTGTTTTTCCTGTGATAAGCTTATTATATAGCTGCAATAGTCCTCGAGGATTTGCCCCATATACAAGTTCAAATGGCGAAAAACCTGTTGAGCTATGAGGAATTTCTCTATATGCAAACATAATGGCAGGTAATAAAGTATCCCAAGACTGCGGATGTTCAAATGATATTCTGGCAAGCATTGTTTTTATGGATTTATTTAAATTTTCAACCAAGCCATTTTATTTGTGCGTGATACGGTAATGTGAAATTTTGTTTAATTCCTAACCAGTTATTAAAAGCTTTTGTAGCCCAAGATGTAAACTGAGTACCTTTATCAGAAATAATAACTTCTGGAAAACCCACCCTTGAAAAAATTGTTAACAATGCCTCCTGAATATCGTTTGATGTTATAAATTTCAGAGGTATACACTCAGGCCATTTTGTGGCAACATCAATAAAAGTTTAAATAAACCTGTTTCCCTTTGCTGAAGTCACTGGTAATGGGCCAACAATATCAATTGCAACTTGTTCAAATGGTCTTGATGCTATCAGACCTATTTGCACTGGAGCCTTTGGGTTCTCTCCTTTTTTTTTGTGGTTTTAGCACAGGTATCACAAGATCGAACATAATTTTTTACATCTTTAGAAAACCCAGGCCAATAAAATGTGGATAGAATCCTCTTCTTGGTTTTTGTTATTCCCATGTGCCCAGAGAAGATGGAATCATGTGCTAATGATAGGGCTTTTGGTCTGAATTTTTGTGGTAGTACCGTCTGTTTATAGACTTTTGGACCTTTCTGATATATTCTAAGTAGTACATTCTTTGATACAATAAATTTCCATGTTGCAAATTTCTTTACTACTGGGTCTGTATGAACCAAATCAAAACATTTCTTTAGTGATGGATCAGATACTTGGGCATCTTGAAATTCTCTTTGGCTGTTAATGTTTTCTTTTGTAATGGGTACCAGTTCTGTAGTTAAGTTCTCTTCTTTTAACTTTTGTTGTATGGTATCAGTCATGCTTCTGGTTACTGCAGCAGCTAGTTGGGGAGCACTTGGGTCAGACAATTGTATCAAATCAGTTTTACATGATTGAAAATTATCATGTTCACATAATTTAACACTGGATGAAACTTTTAGGTTTGATGGGTTATTTACTTTCTCACTATTCATCATTTCTCTTTCATTCAGTACGATTGGTGTTTTTTTAACACCTAATAACTTTTTCTCATCTTTTGCATTCTTTACTTCTTTCATACCTTTATCCTTGCATACTGTGGTCGTATTCTTTTCATGTTCACTACTTTTCATACTTATATTCTCAAATTTTTCATGACCAATCAACTGTTCCCTGTTTTGGACGCAATCACTTTCATTCATTTGTACTACTGCATTCACACTATGGCAAAAATCTTGATCACTGGTATTCAGTTTCTCTCTTTCTTTCAATCCTTGATGTTTTCTCTTTCCCACTGAAAAATTTTCTGTTCAGACATTTCTCTCAGACCTTTTTCATTCCCCAAAATTAAACCTGCACATGGTGCTGATAGAACGGCTACTTTCAATCTGCCTTGAAAAAAAAAGGTGTTTTAACATTAACAAATGCAAGTTTATATTTCTCAATTGTGCCTCCAAATGTTCTGCAATTTACATGTTTGTTAGTAATATCTTCAGGTTTGATAAGATCTTTGTGGATACCTGAAATTGTGGCGCCCGTGTCTCTCAAAATGGTGGTTATTCTTCCATTCACAATTCCTCTGTATAATTTTAAGGTTCCCTGTGTATTTGTGGCTGAGTTGGCTTCTTGTACAGGTATATTATGGCCACATGGAAGGCTATCTTCTTCATGGAACTGTTGACATACAGGGCAAGTTTCAACAGTTTCTGCATTGGTGTCAAATGGTTCGGTGTCTGAATCTGAGTCTGACATTGCTTGTGCTATGTTGGCTTCCTTAAATTTTCTTCTAAATAAACAGTCTTTTTTAACATGATTATAGCAACCACAATTGAAACATTTAATGGCATCTTTATACAATCTCAACCTCTGTGTTCTTCTATTAAACAGTTTGTCTACATAGTCTTTATAACCCGGATTTCTATCACACATTTTGTCGTTCAGATGAGATTTTTGACAATATTTGCAGTACATCATTTGCCACTTTTTGTTGAACGTGGTTTTTTTTTTGTGTGGGTTTGCCCCTTGGTTGTATCTGCCTTTGTCATAACTGGCACTAGCTCCAGTTTCAATGTCTGGTACCGGGTTGGAAATGAAGATTTCACGATGGGCTGAAAAATAATTCTCACCTAAGTTCTCTAACTCCTTCAATGAGGTTGGTTTATTTTCTCTTAAAAAGGTTGACATAGGTTTAGGTAAAGATTCCAACATTTTGTTCCTTAATAATAAATCTACTAATAATTTATAATTATCTCTAACATTGGCCGAATCAATCCATTTATCAAAAATATTCTGAACTTCCGAAAAATAGTCAGTGAACGTCTGATCAGACTTTGGCTTTAAATCCAGAAACTTTTTCCTATACCCTGCTTCATGTAGGTCATAGTGTCGCATGATGCGATCTTTAATATAGTCAAAGTCTAATCTTAGATGTTCAGGGACTGTTTCTAAGATCTTCAATGGTTCAAATGCTAAATGTTTTTTGAAAAATAATGGCCCACTGGTCTTTTGGAACATCATGAAAGCGCATTTGCAAAAGAAAGCTAGATATATAACTACCAATGTCATCCTTTTCAGAGAAATTTCTGACTATACCTGCATACTTTTTGAATTTATTTTCTTCTTCTTTTAATCTTTCTTTTTGGATAGCAGCTTCTCTTCTGGAATCATTTTCCATTTCTTTAGTTCTGATTTGTGCCTCTGTCTTTTCTTTTTCAATCTGAATTGACGCAGCTATCTTCTCACGTTCCAAATTCAGTTCTTGTTCTTTTAATATTCTTTTTTCTAT